TTTTCTCAACCATGTCTAAAAAGCTTTAAACAGCTTTTACAGTACATGTAATGGTTTACAACAACTTGTAATTAGATGTGTTGAATGTTTCATGATTCTTTACTGCAGCCTTGGTTAAAAAAAAATAAATAAAAGCAATTTTTTCGAGAATCTGAAATTTGAAGTCTGGAAATGCTGGCACCGGTGGTGGCGAAGGGCTTCCTGACGATATCACACCTAATTCTTCACTTCTCTTAGTTAGGAATATTCAGATGGATGACTCAAAATTATTGAGTGTGGCGATATTATAGGACTAATTTGGATTCAATAAAAAAATAAATATTTGAATTTCACTTTGTATAATAGCTGATACCAACTTAGTTGTAACCTCGTATTTCATTTATTGCAGGTTTTCTGGAGGCTCCATTTGAGGGCATCAAGGACATACTGATGGCCTTAACCAGTGTCAGCCTAGACAGACAGGCATCTATTGCAGTTCTGCTACACAAGACCAAACTCTCTGCTTTTGTATGGATGTCTGACTAGTACGGTGTTCTCTAAAGGTATAACTGGAGCAAAACAATAGCATCCGTTACAGTGAAATTTGTGTTCATAAAAGATATGATATGTGTAACAGGTCCAGTACATTTGTCATAAAGGTTAAATCACAGTAAGTACTGTAAAAATAACTTGTTTGCCTTTGCCACAACAGGTCATGGTGTGTGCTTACTGCTCGTAGTAAACACACGCTGATCTGATGAGGGAGAGATATACGCAAACACAATTGTATTTAATGTTTTGTTTTGCCTCACTAAAGTGTTGTTGGAGCTTGGTATGTTCACAGTTGAAATCACTGAAGTCACATGGAACGTTTTGACAATGTGTTTTGTGCCTTATCTTGACAATGACCATCTTGGGACCATTGCTGTCTGTAGAGGATGAGGAGCATTTAATCTAAAATATTTTAGTTTGTGTTCTGAAGATTAACAGGACTTGTGGGATGACACAAGTAATTAATTACAGAACCTATATGAACACTTAATGTGACATGTAATAGTGAAATAGTGGCCATTCACAAATGTGAGCCATTATTATAAGACCCATGTGAACATGCAATTTTTATGATACTAATAATAATAATGGAATAACAAATTGCTTTTACTGTTGTGTTTGTGAGAGAGAATCAAACCATATATTCTACACATTTTCTATGTCTATGTTCCACTGTCACAGGTGCTCAGTTTTGCTGCAGTAATGCTAAACACAATAGATGTACTTTATACAAAAAAAAAAAAAAAATACTACATATTTAGCATGCAGACCTGCAAAGTGAAGGAGTAATGTCAGGTTAAGATTATAGATGAGTTTTCACTATTGTGAATGTGAAGCCATTCATTCACAATGAATTGGAATAGCAAACCTCATTATTGATTTTGTAGGAAACTCACCTGGTGTTTGAGAAATAAATATGTATTTAACTGCTAGACTGATATAGATGTTTTAGTGTTTTAGTCTTGATTCTTTGTCCCCAGTGCCATCTTTTACCTCAAGTGTTTCTCTCAATCTATAAAACCTCAAACAGATGTAATGTATTTCACTTGTGATTCTTAGTTGTGAGTGATGTTTTTTATTTTATTTTTTTACTGCAGCCACTTTAAAAATGGGTATTTTGTAAACTTTGTAAACAGAATTGTATTTTGGAGACTGTGATGGTTGAAGCGTAGTTTAGTTACTTAGTTTAATTTAGTTAGTATCTGTCTTTCTGAAGACGGTAACACTTTACAATACGGTTGTATTAGTAAGTGTTAATGTATTTACTAACATGAACAAAGAGCAATGAAGCATCTTTCATATAAAGAAAGTACAGTTCATGTCAGCTCAGTGCATTAATGTTAACAAGCATACATTTTGATTTTAATAGCATCAGGACATATTTCAATTAATTAAATGATTAATAAATGCTGTACAAGTATTTGTTCTTTGTTCATGTTAGTAAACATTAACTTTAATTCATGAAACCTAATTAAAAAGTGACTATTTAATTGTATGCCTTTTTTCTGTATTTGAGTGTACAGCATGTATAGTAACCTGCATGGTTTTGATGAACTGTATGCTGTAAATGTTGCTGTATATTTAGAATAATTGAAATAATGAGGTGTGAATTAAATAAATTGATACACAGACTAAGTTGTGTATTTGTGTCGTGTATTTTTTATTAGTAAAAATTTGTATGCTATATTTATGGACTTTGCGTTGTATGTAATTTCTATTTAACTTACGTTGAAATGTATGACGGTGAAACAACGTCACGGTATCAACGTTGATCCAATTTGCAAAATCGAAAGGTAATTCAACCTTCATTCAACGTCTACAAAACGACCACAATTCACCCATGAAGAAGGTAAGAGTGAAACAACGTTGTGATTTCAACGGTGAATCACCGGTGGTGGTCCGACGGTGAAACAACGTCACTATATAAACGTTGATCCAATTTGCAAAATCGAAAGGTAATTCAACGTTGATCCAACCATAGACCTGACGTTGATTCAACGTTGAATCACCGTTGAAATGCCGGCTGGGAAGTTATTATTTGTGAACGTATTTGGTTTAGGGCTTTTATTTTGAAATCTCTGCGGCTGTATAAAATGGCTGACTGGCCATGAGGTTATCACTTCCTGTTAGCTAGCAATTTGCCAGCATATGTTGTTTGCATGTGCTCTTCAATGGATTAACTTCAACAAGGACTTCAAGTGATCTAAGGAGCATTTAGGACAATGGGCTCTATGCACGGCGGCGCGTGATGCATTTCCGGTAAAATTTAAGACCCCGAGCCAACTTCCGCCGATCGTACAGTACAGTGCTACAACAGGAGCGCTACTGATAAAAACAAGTAATGTTTTGGACAGTTGTCTTAATGTTTTATGCCATTATAGCCCACTTATATACGTTTATGTCAGCTACTTAAATATGACATCTAAACGTTTAAAAGTGTAATTTCAAAGATGTGAGAACAGTACTTATAGCTACAACTGCTGTGTTCAGCAACACACAGCGTCAGAAATTGAACTCCTACCTTAGTTTCCACACGTTTCCAAAAGACAAAGTAGTACAGAAGAGGTGGGTTGTTGATATTAAACGTGAAAATTTTACAGAAAAAGACAAGAGTGTAGCTGACATTTTCAGTCTAGCAAACTGATTGAGGCTCGAGTGCCAACCAGATGCAGACATTTAAAGAAAGGACCTTTTATGGCAAATAATAGTTTGTTTTCATTGCCTTTTGAAGTAAAAAAAAACTGAACATTAATATACATAAACATTTCTTAAGCTACTTTCTAAGTGCTATTTTTTAATTTAGAATAAATACCTTTATTTTATTCATATAAAATATAATTCACAGTATATAATTTGAAATAAAAATTGTCAAAAAAGTTACATTTTGAAAAAATATTTTATTTAGATGAACAGAAACAATAACATTGAATCAGTTGTTTTCTTGAATCAGGTGCTTCTTCTGTAACTTGTGCATAGAGAGGTATTTGGGCTGATACGTATTAAATAAATAAATAAACACCCATCTGTTTCATGGAACTTAACACATAATTGATCCATTCCAAACAATTGTTCATGTGACAACACACATTACACATTTCAGAGTAATGGGCTGTCTGGAAAAGCAAAGCAACCAAATGTTTGCATATCCCACTCTCAGCCACACAAGAGCAGGAGCTGTTAACTAGCAGACGATGGCATGGATCTTCTGACGGATGTCAGCTCCAGGATGCAGTAACACACAAAATTTTCTAGCTCTGAATCTCATAATGTTACCTAGAAAACAGAAACAAGAATATTAATAGGTTTTTAAAGAGAGTCATTAAAGGCAGTTCACTCAAAACTGAAAATTCTATTTTCCTCATCCTTCACTTGTTCCAAACCTGTTTGAGTTTGTTTCTGATGTTTAACACAAACAGAAATACTTTGAAGGAAGCTGGAAACTTGCAACCACTGAGTCATAGTAGTTCTTTTTCCTACTATGGAAGTCGATGGTTACAGGTTTTCAGCTTTCTTCAAAATATCTTCTTTTGAAAGGCATCTGCAGCAATATCAACAGATTAAACTACACTGTTAATCATTATTTTAAATCATTTAAAAGTATCCCCCTTTAGTCACACTTTAAAATAAGGTTTCATTAGTTAATGTATTTGCTCACTATTAAAAGAACTATTTAATATTTAATAGTTAGCATTGTTAAACTAATTTACTAATGAATAAAAATCCAAAGTCATGCTTGTTAACATTAGCTATTACATTGTGAGTTAACAAGCACAATGAATAAGCATTTGTTCATTAACGTAAAAAAACTAATAAATATTTTAATAGACAAATTGTTGATGTGAAATTAACTAATAACACCTTATTGTTTTGGGTCACCCTCCCATTTAATTACAATGTTAAAGACTAAATAGAAAACATGTCATCTACACTGTTACACTGCATCTGTCATCTCTATTGTTTCAGCAATAAATATCAGCAATGACACAGTGCTATTTGTCTGTTGTGGAAGGAACGGCATTGTATTATTTTATTCCTAATATATCTTGCTCAATAATCATGCTTACAAGCTAAGACAGCATCTGTGTTTCTGTAATTATCCGAACTGAACAGTTGGGGTCACTTTAGAACAGTAAAAGTATGAACAGGACAGAACTTCACATGTGTATGCTATCCTACTCTCAGCTGGTGAGGAGACTCCGATTTCTTCATAAATCGATCAGTAGTAATGAGCTCTCACTGAGATCTTATTCCTGCCCTGTTTTTACCTGACACTTTGAGACAGAATTACATACACATGATCATTTTTACTAACGTTAACGTGATAAAGCTGCAGATGGACAGATCGTTAGAATAGTACTGACGTTAGCCTACAGGCTAGCTGAACTTACCTTCATAATTACACAGGTAGGAAGATGCATAAAACTTGAAACCTCTCTCAAGTTTGCTCTGCGGTCTTGTAGTGCATGTGGCCGATTCATTTAAGAGATTTATTTATTTACTTATTTATTTTTATATGCAAGTAATAGTTAACTTCAGCAAAACTTGCATCTAATGTTTTGTTTTATTCACTTCAAGAGTTCCTATGTTTGTTGTAGGTGGGGCTGTAAATAGTGTAACACCGGGTGAATGTTAAAGCTTCCCTCTGTGTGCCCACGCTCAGTCGCGTGGTGCACGCAGATGGTGAAGCAGAGGTAATTTTCGCTCTCCTCTAATCCTACAATTATTATCCCTTTGCAGTCACAATCATTTTATTTTGACACTAAAATGCTGTTTAGGGTTTCTGTTGTAATGTGTATTGTTGTGATGAGTATATTTTACTTTAAATGGTGTGATTATTGTGATTTTAGAGTTTTCATTTGCACGTGTATTTTTCATGTAGGATTGAGAGGGTTTCCAGTGTTAAACTATACTGACTGTGCCTCACTGTTTTGTTAAGGTATGTTGTTTTGGTTATTGGCTTGTTATTTTAAGGATTCAAATATGTAAATCAGTTCAAATTACAGTAATGGTGTCATTTAATTGTGTCATGGCAGATTTTCAACTAATAATTTAATTAATGCAAACAAAAAGGGTTTTATTTTATCAGTGATCAAAAAAAAAATTAATGCAATTTACAATTAACAGTTATTTAATGTTACATATTTTATTTATATTATGCAATTTATGTGATTTTGTTTTTATTGGCATTTAAATGTTTAAAATAGTAAAATACATATTTCTCTGTGTGCCTGCTCAGTCGCGTGGTGCACGCAGATGGTGAAGCAGAGGATTGAGAGGGTTTCCAGTGTTAAACTATACTGACTGTGCCTCACTGTTTTGTTAAGGGAATAAATCAGTGTTTCTCCACCTCATCTGTGTGTGTGACCGTGTTTGAGAGGGAAGTCCATTTGAAGTCTGCTACATCTAACTGGTGCCGTGACCCGGATCCATTGGTCAGCCGCAGCCGATCGCCGGGGTCAAGCAGTGTGCTGAGATGTCCTGGTGCTGTACCGTGTGACAAGGATCTACGCAGCAGATATTCAAGTGATTCCCATTGGACATTTGCACACACATACGCCGTTATTCGTCTACAACTCCTACGAACTATACACAATTACACACATTTTACACATACACATTTTGGACATCAGCATACATTGGACATTAACACTTATTTGGTGACTTGATTTTTCACTCAATGCTATATTCTGAATTGAGATTTTGTACATTTGGTTGTTTTGGGTTTACATATTCTCAAGTTTAAGTTGTAATAGTAACTCATAATTCAGTTTGTGGTATCATTAATAATGGCTGAAAAGGGACAAAATACATCGGATTTATTCACACCATTAGGTGGGAGGGGTAGAGGTTTGTACAGAGTTGAAGGGAATACAGGAGCCACACCAAAATTGTTATTTCCCAGTTCAGTTTCGTTACCAGAGGTGAGCCCGTGTCCTGATTTAGCGCAGCCAGCATGTTCAACCCCTTCTGACAGTAACAACAATGTCACTCAGCAATTAATAGATCTGATAGGAGAGCTGGGTAGTCAGATTGGTGAATCCATAGCCGGTCGCTTGTTAGCTAGCCAAAATGTTGCTAACACAACACCCACAACTACAACACAGTTAGGGCAACCTTCACTCGAAACTTCTAAGGTTAGTTTTATAGTGAGATCAGACATTAAAGAACCACCAATGTTTAAGGGTGATGAGAGTGACAAGTACACTGTCAATGAGTGGATAGATGTAATGGAGTTGTATCTGCAGAAGAGTAGCTGCCCTGAAGCAGAGAAAGCAAGCACTATCCAAAGTCATCTCCTTGGAAGAGCCAAAAATATCATTAAAGTAGGGCTTAAAAGCACTGGTTCAGTTAGTGTTGAGAAAATCTATGATATGCTAAGACACTACTTTAGCGACCACCCTGTGTCCCTCTTGCCACTGGCAGATTTCTACGCCACTCAGCCTAAATTTAAGGAGAGCCCTGTAGATTACTGGGTAAGATTAAATTCTGCAGCAGAGCGGGCTAACAGTCATTTACAGCGCAGTGGCAGTAACATGGAAAACATGAATGCAGAAGTGGCCATGATGTTCACACGAAACTGTCCTGACCCTGAGCTATCTAGTGTGTTCAAATGCAAACCTATGAGCAAATGGTCTATTGAGGAAATCCAGGAAGCTATTGATGAACATCAGAGAGAAAACCAATGTCGTAGAATCCCCAATACAGTCAAGCCCCACACCCTCCATGTATCTACAGCTAAGGCAGTTCCTGTTTTAGAGGAAGTAAAAGAAAGTGAATTAACTGCTGCTAATGCTACAGCGTGCACCCCCAGTAGTCATTCTGAAGCTAAAGCGTCCCAGTCTAATTCTGAAGCATTGGAACGTGTCCTCAACATGCTGGAGAGAGTGTTGGAACGAACCAGCCAGCCCGCACATAATTCTCCAGGGTCCTTTCAGACACATAGGGCTCGCTTTTCCTCTTGTCGTGTTTGTGGAGATCCAGCACATTCCACCCGTTCACATTGCATGCGAGAGAGGCGGTGTCTAAACTGTTTGAGGGTCGGACATCAGCGTAGAGACTGTCCTAATGTGGTGGAAGCAACCCCGCAGCCAACTGGTACCTCACACTCTCAGGGAAACGAGTATGCTCGCATTGGAGAGGGGACAATGTGAGCATGGAGAATGAAACCCTCATTGACAAGGATGAACTTCAGATATTTGAGGAAAGCTGTAAGGCAACCCCTGATAAAAATGTACTTTTTCAAAATGTGATGAAGTTGGAAAAAGCTGACAGTCTGTTTTACACCGATGTCTCTATTGTAGGAGCAAACGTTACATTACGTGCACTTCTTGATAGTGGGTCTATGGCCTGTACCATAAACAAGGAAGCTGAGTGCAAGTTAAAGAGTGCAGGGGTTGTTCTTACATCAAGTGAGAAAAGACCAGATATCATCCTTGTCGGTTGCGG